TTTCTTATGCTATATTCACTTTTGTGCAATAACGTCACGATTTTTGCGGTAATGATTTTTTCCAAAATGTTTTGCAAAAATATCCCGATCAGGATATAAATTTTCTGTGATATCCCGTTCGGGATATCGGTCGTGAGACCGGACTGACTGAGTCCTTGATCATTTTCTCACATATTTGTAGGAAGAGTAGGATATAACGATTAACTATGTAGTCAGGATTATTTTATCTAATATCTATACTATGAGTGACAAAATACGTTGAGTTTGAGACTTTAGTACACACATGCACACACAAATGTAGAAAACTAAGAGATAAGGAGATTTCTGTTATATCTAGGCTATAACAAATGTTAAAGACGTACAAGATACAGAAAACTGTTCAAAATGTGTGAACAAAAACTGATTGACATTTTGACACGATTGACAAATGTGATATCTATCTTGTATCCCTCCAGTACAGCTCCAACATAGAACGGTATTACACTGGATGCAGTCCCCAGTGACATCGATTGCTTGATCGTGCTATAACATTGCTGACACTGTTGTATGGTCATCGCATTTTGGAATGCTGTAATACTTGGAGCATGGGGTAAGCCGCTGTTACTGTTGAGAAATCGTTGGATGGTTGTGAATGTGATGATATTGGAGGTGTTAATTATAATCGATTATGAGTCGGCGGCGCATCAACGTCATTGAAATGATCACTAACAAGAATATCTAATGTGTTTGTTGACGGTTTTTGTTTACGTGGTGTTGAGGCTGTCCTTTTCATTGTTGTGCCCGTTTTATTCTCTTTGGCTGCCTTCTTCTTTCTGATGACTGATAGAGCGTATTCATCTACATCTGTTACAATTGTACCGTGCGGTCGAGATAGCAAATGTTTCTTTGCTCTTGCTGTTTCTTTCGGTTGACCGAAATGTTTTTCTACGATTTTATCGATAGCCGCCAGTGATTCATTCAGATCTAAAGGGAGATGTGAAATATGTCATTGGTTATTTCAGATTGATTGAAACTTTGAGCACTACCTGCTGATGATGTAGATGGTTTTGGTGGTGAAGTTGTATCCAAAAACGAAGATGATAAACTTAAATGAGCAGCAGTTGGAAAATTGAATGTAATTGACGATTGAGTGCGATTTAATGAACTTGTTGCCATTGTTCTAAGGGAAACTTCCTCTTGAATATGTTCACCACTATCTATAAATGAAAAATAACCACTGAGAAGAAAAAACTTCCAGAGGTAACTGTTAGCTTACTCGAAAATAAATTTGGATCTGATGAATATCTGACTAATTTCTTTCGTTGTGGCGCTGTTATTGTTATTGCCGACGTCTGATTATCTGGATAAAACGAATTATCAAATTCAACTGATGCTGAACGGGGTAATTTTTTTGATGCCGTTGTTGATCCATTTTTTATTAATCTTTCTTTCCGAATAACACGTGGGTCATATGGGTGGATACCTGCTTTAGCAAAAGCTGAAGAACAATGAGCCGGCAATAGAGCGTAATCGTACAATTTTGCAAATAATCTTACAAAATCCGGTTCCAACAACAGCGGCAGCCAGAAAATAACGAAAGCAGGAAATCACCAAGACGACAAAACAAAACACATCACTAACCTCGATATCACAAGGTTGACGGCAGAGAATAAAGATGTTTGCACAGTATAAGATCAATATAACTTTCTTGGAGTTAGAATGTGAAAATACTTTTATTAAGGCCATTTGCATTCAATAAAACATTGAGAACGAAAGAGTAAGATTTCTCCTTCACATGAAATCAAGAAATAAGGATCAGCTATCCTAGTATTTAAGATGAAATAGCTCAGGAGGCGCGGTGTAAGACTTCGACCGTCATTTAACTAATTATTTAACCCCTCGACTGACTGCCTCACCATTCCTTTAAGGTCTTTTTCGTCTGTCGGCCGTCCTGTTGCAAGTAAATGAAGCGTTTCTCGATAATTTTTTCTCTCCATCTGACAATTCACACTAGAGAAAGAAAGTAAAGCAGTAAGTACATTGCACTTCTAACTGATATATTATAAAGGCCTTGTTTCTTGAATAAATACACTTCAGATTATTATTGTAAAAATAATAAACTAGTTTTATTTTACTTTTTCTAACGGTTTACTTTTTAGTTATTTTTAGATCATTATTGCCATTAAAAATGACACAAACATCAGTATTATTTATTGTTCTCTCAGCTTTTATCTGTGTTCAATGTCAAGATACAAATGTTATCGAAATTCACAACAGCGGTTCAACAAACACAGCCGGTTATGATATAAAAATTGAACGGACTGGTGACACATCCTATCAAGTTTTTCGCCGTCGTCCACAAATAGGTGATGCTCAATCAGGCAACAAGGATAACGGAAAGACAACACTGACAACTGGATTAACAGAAAATTTATTTCGACAAGTTGAAAAAACAATGCCATTTAATCAATATCCCGTTAGGCACTGCGGTGTGAGTGTTTCATTTGGCTTCAAAGTATTCAGATATGTTGCTATCCGTTATTTGCCTAGCTGCAACATATTTTTCTTCAGTTTATGAACCACGTAAAATCGGAAGAGAAGATTATTCACTTGTTGTGAAATACAATGGTCAAACGACACCCGATATAAATTGTCAAAATAATAATGAAAATTTATCGATTCTAAACAAGATGGTACGAGATATCGTTACCGTATTGGGTATTAAAACATTTGGTTAATAATGATTCGTATAGTGTTTTCTGTTTTTAGTACGGAGAAATACGATGTTGCACTGTTATGCTTGAATCAAAAAGTATTTTTCATACTAAAGAAAGAATAAATTTCCAGCAACATTATTCTAATTTGAGGTGACTCATTTCAATAAAAGTATCGTTTACTTTGTTCGTATTTCAATCAGACTCATCAATATTTTTAATGTAGAGCTATCTAAAATAGCTAGGTTAATACATACTCCTATCTCTTTTTTCTTCTGTTAATAAATGAGAGGAAAAAGCCATTTGACTATCGAGGACCTTTTCCTAAGTGATGAATCGCTTTTCGTCCGAAACCTAGTAGGTTATAGGTTATGGAGGATGCTGAATCCGAATATCAACAGACTGGCTGCTAGATCTTTCAAGTATCGGTTTTCTAGAAAACCAGTTTTTCAGAAACTCTAAAAAGAAGCAAAACCTTTCTTAATGAGGCATGATTGTAGCACGCACATTTCTGATTAAAATGACAGATCATCTCACAGCTCTACACGACCTTTCTTTGCAAAGTTATAGAATTTACAAAAAAAATTATAAATGTTCATTGTCAGCTCAAAGCTACAGAAATAAGAAGAAATTAATTTAAGAGGTAATAAGCGATAAAGTTACATTATTTTTACGAGTGCGTGCAGCATTATCTTTCACTTTGCATCTGATTGCAAGTAATGGAAAATAATAATAAAATCATTCTACAGCAGCTTTTTACTATTAGACAATGACAGTTTTTTTATATTAATAATTTCATGGAGAACAAGTGACATAGTGTATACATGGCAATCAATGTTAATGTCAAACTCTATACACTGTAAGAAATAAAGTGTGCCCATAAGTTTGATCGTTTACAGCGTACACATTTATGCTTGTGTCGCACTGACGTCCACAATGTATCAGCTGATACATGAACTCGATAAGAAACTAAAATACCTGACTTTTTAGGGATTTTTCTAAGAAGTATGCAACAGAACATTACAGCGAAGACGGGGAAAACGCCTTTTAGAGCGAATGGAAACTTGATTTCAGTGCCTTAATCTGTCATTTCTTACGATTTTTCGATTGTTTTTGGTACACACAGTAGACGACCACTGATCTTCTGTTCTCGGAACGGGGGTAGGTTGAACCACATGCGGCTTACAGGCGCTCAGTAAGAAAGAGATGTAATGGATCGCCTCTCGCTTTGCTGACGTTCGAAGGAGGCGTCTGATGTGACGAAGTTTTCTTCAACTCGTCTGCAAAAAAACTCCATTCCAGCAAAATCTATTTCGACTCCATATGCTGTCGGCGACCTTTTCGTAATAACGGTTCATCATAGAGAGAATTTTGGTTTTTCAATTGAAAGAGCATGATTGACGATTTGGATGCGTGAAGGTTATGTAGCGTATAAATGTACAAAGAGTAATCACTTCAAAGAAACCTTCAAATGTTGTTTTTCTGTTTGTTTACTTGTAATAGTTTCTTATTTCTTACTCCAAATATAAAATTTTAAGCAACTCGGGAAAAAAAATCTGTTATGAATAATAGTTACATAAAACATCGAAAATAAACAGACTTTCACAGTTTATATTCTCTTGACTGAAAGTTCAAGAGAATATAAACTGTGAAAGTCTGTTGAGAATATAAACTGTGAAACTCTGAAAGTCTAGGGGCATATGAAATAAGTATTAGCGCCGCCATATCGAGTCGAAATAGATTTGGCTGGAGCTTTTTGCAGACGAGTTGAAGAAAAATCTTTTTGCAAGTTACTTATTAGCATAAGGACATGACTAATTCGAAAATATCTCTGCTCAGGTCTTTTCCGTTACCGAGATAACAGACATATCCGTAAAATAACTACCTTTCCTGCCGGCTACTCATAATCATACCTTTATGAATAAAATAACCATAAATAGCTCGAGTACAGTATAGAGACATGTTGCTAGGTGCGAGCTTACTTTTCATTGGTAGAAATCGTGAAAAAATCAGAAGCCCGACATGGTTAAAAGTGGAAAAAGTCCAAAACTTGGAAAATTTGCGCACTCTCGCCGCCCACGGAAGACGTTTTTATAAAATCGCAACTGCCAGGGAATCTAAGTACAAAGCCACAGCTACCTAAATAATCAATTTCCCCAAAAAATCTTGCATTGAAGCAATAAATAAGAGCCAGTTTTTAGGAAATAATGCACTGCGTCGTAAACGACCGTAAACAAGCCCTACCAGCTGATGAACAGTTGAATGTTTCTTTCGAAAATCTGACTGAAAGACAGACAGGAGTTTATTCGCACTCAAATCTTGGTATAGTTTCCTGTAGACGACCCTCCCAATAACCTTTGACGAGGCCGGCAGTAACGTCATTGGTCGATAGTTATTGGGTAGCTTATGATCCCCATCGTTGAACAATGCAGTTACACAACCTGACTCCATAGACTGAGGGAATATTCCGTCTTGTATTGAACTACGACAGATATGACCAACATCTTCAGCAATTATTGTTGAAGACTCACGCAGCAAACGGTTATTAATTC